GTTTTAAACATTGAATTAATATGAAATTTATTCTGTTAAAACGAAAAATATAATAGGGATAATTTAATTCTTCAATAAAGTAATATGACATTACACATAAATTAATGATTACTTTCTTGTCATTTCGAAGCGAAAACATGTCCATCAGGAGAAACGTTAAATAGCTTAACACCTGTAATTATAGATAAGACTGGCAATATTAATTGATTCCAGTGGACCAGAGAAGGTAAAAAATCATCTGTATTTCAAGTGTAAATTTGAATGGTAATTGCTGCTACATACAACTGACTAATTGGACTATACACATATATTAATCTGACTAAAATCGGGTTTCGTAATACCCGCTGTGGGCACAGCACTGATAGTCCATAATGTGTTTAAAAGCAAGCTGAATGTCTACTACTCCCACCTCACACACTACTACCTGAACGTGGAGCACGTGAGATAAACCGACTCCCATCCATGGCAAATCAACTAGATCTTGCACTTTATCAACAACCATTGTACAGAGTCCTCGCCTTTTATTCTTCACATATCTTATCTAACGCATTGCTGTTGTTAACTTGTGATAATGAGAAGTGCTCTATGAAACGATTAGGTTCCTAAGCATCAAGTGAACTTTCATTATATATACATCATTGGTAAATAGTTACATTATTGAAAAATATTACGTTATAATATGGATAATAAAACATATTCATAATTATTTAAACTACTTAAATAATAATTTCCAATCTGACTCGAATTAAATGTGAGATACTCTTTCTTCAATAAATCTATTTTTTTATTCACATATAAGAAAACTAATATAAAACTCTTCGCGAAGCTTAAATTTCACGATCAGTTTCATCAGCAAAATATATGAAAAAGTTAATTGAATCACGGAGATTCAAGATGGAGGAAAATAATTTTTGTCATCGCAGATAGGATAATAACGAAGTAATTATATAATTTCCGGAATAATGCATTCTATAATTAAACGCGTGATGAGATTCAAATTTCAGCACGAAGGACTAATAGGGAAATATTTCCAAATGCTACTCATGTATATCAACCGAAACTACAAACCTGATAAAACTTTTCCATCTATGCACTTTCTTTAGAGTAAAACAACATTTGTTTGGAACGAAATATCCTATCGGTACTGTTTCACTTTAAAGGCATGTTGTAAACTAACTGAAAGAAAGCTTTGGAATTGCTAACAGAATCACTGAAGCACAACATGTCATTCATTTTTATATATATAATGTTTCGACAAAAAGTAAGACTGTTGTTTCCATGAATTATAAGATAAAATGTGTGATAAAGCTAATTCAAAAATTAAACTTTTGTTCAACTATAATGTCATTAAGTTTCAATTTCGTTTTATATTAGGTCGTCAAGAAATTAATGTCGCGTTTTGGAACAC